AGTAACAGGTTGTTATGATAACTACCAACCTATAATATGTCCTAAGGTCTGAGATTGTGATACCTCCAGCTAAGTCCTTATATTTTAGGATAGGTTTGACTATTCATGGTCTTCTTTCCAGATAAACTTTTGTATCCTTTTTCCCATCTATGTGAAGAATTTCCTTGGTATTTTGATTAGAATCACATTGAATATGTATACTACATTTGGTCCTATGGACATTTTGCTGGTATTGACTCTGCCCATTTTGGAAAATGGTATATATCTCTACCTTTTGAAGTCTTCCTATATTTCGCTTTTCAGTGTTTTGTACTTTTCCTCATAGAGATTTTCCATATCTTTAGTTAGTTTTATTCCAGGGTATTTCATTATCTTTTTTATTTTGAAAGGCACCATACTGATTAATTCTTTTTCAATCATAACGCTCTTTGTGTACACTAGGGCTGTTGATTTCTGTTCGTTTATTTTGTACCCTGCCACTTTACCAAACTCTCATGTTAGTTCTAGCAGTCTCTTTATTGATTCTTTTGGTTCTCCTTTATATAGAATCATGTCGTCTGCAGAGATAGCTTGACTTCCTCCTTTTCTGTTTGGATTCCTTTGATTTCTTTTTCTTATTTAAATGTTCTAGTGAATACTTTCAGTGTTATGATAAATAGCAGTGGTGATAGAGGACATCCTTCTCTAGTTTCAGATCTTAATGGGAGAGCTTACATTCTTTCCTCATTTTGTATGATGCTGGCATTGGGTTTTTCATAAATTGCTTTCATTGTGTTGTAAAATGTTCCTTCTATGCCAGTTTTGATTAGGGTTTTAAGCATGAGGTGGTATTTGCATCTATTAAGATTATCATATTACTTTTGTTCTACAGTTTCTTGATGTGATGTATCACATTTATAGATTTTTATATGTTAATCTATTCCTGCATGCCAGGGATAAATCCCAGCTGGTCCCAGTGCATGATCTGTCTGATGTATTGTTGAATTCTGTTGGCTAGTATTTTGTTCAAGATTTCAGTGTTGATATTCATTAAGGACACCAGTCTGTTGCTTTGTTTGTTGTCTTTGGTTTTGGTGTTAAGGTGATATTGGCCTTGTAGAAAGAGCTTGGAAGGATAGCCTCCTTTTCCATTCTTTTGAATGGTTTGTGAAGAATTGGGGTCAGTTCTACTGGAAAGCTTTGTAAAATTCAACAGTGAAGCTATCTGGGCCTGGGCTTTTCTTTGTAGGCAAGACTTTAATTGCTGATTCAATCTCTGTCTTGGTTATAGGTTAATTTATATTTTCTGTTGCCTCATGACTTAGTTTTGGTAGGTCGTAGATGGTTTGCATCCAGGAATCTCTTAGAAGTCTTCTAATTTGTTGACATACAGTTGCTTGTAATAATTTCTGATTATTCTCTATATGGCTGAGGTATCTGCTGCTATGTCCCATTTTTCATCTTTGATAATGTTAATTCTTGGCTTCCCCTGCTTTTTTTTTGTGTGTCAGTGGGGCCAGATTGTGTGTCTATTATGTTTGTTTCCTTGAAAAACCAAATCTTTGATTCATTGCTTTTGGCTGTTTTATTTTTGGTTTCTGTTTTATTTTCTATTTTGATTACTTATTTTTTTCTGTTGATCTTGATTATTTGGATTATTTTATTTACCCCTCACCTGTCTTGTTTCCTAATTTAGGCACCAATGGCGATAAATGTACCTGTTAACACTGCCTTGGCCATGTCCCACAAGTTTTAGTACGTTACATTTGAGTTTTCGTCGGTTTCAAGGAATTTTAAAATTTCTGTTTCAGTTTCTTTTCTAATTCATTGTTCGTTCAGTAGCATGTTGTTCAATCCAAGGTTTTATAAGTTTTGTGGGGTATTCTGATTTATTGATCTCTAGTTTCTCTGTGGTGGTCTGAGAAGATGCATAATTTGGTTACAATTTTTTTTAATAGCTGGCAAGGCTTGTCTTGTGACCTATCATGTTAGATCCTTGAAAAGGTTCCATGTATAGCTGAAAAAAAATGTATACTTGATGTTCATGGGACGAAAGTTTCTGTATATATCTAATAAGTCTATTTATTGTCTGTGTGAGATCTGCTGTTTCTTTGCTGAGTTTCTGCCTCATTCTTCTGCCTATTGATGGGGTTAATGGGGTGTTGAGTTCCCCACTATTTTTGTATTGGCATCTGTGTCGCCCCTTAGGTATGCCAATAATTGTTTCATATTGCTAGGTGCTCTTTTATTTGGTGTGCATACATTTATTCTTGTTATTTCTTCTTGGTGATTGGCTCCCTTTGTCATTGTGTAGTGTCCCTCTTTATTTCTGCACCAGTTCTTTTTTTTCCCACTTTCTCCCCATTTCCCCCATTAAATGTTTTTTCCATCCTTTCACTCTCAGTTTCCATGTATCTTTTTTGGTTAGATGTGTATCGTGTAAGAAACAGATACATGGACATTGCTTTTTTTTTTATCCATTCTGATATTCTTTGTCATTAATGAGGTTAGGCCATTTGAGTTCAGAGTTAACATTGATAGGTTGTGAATCAGTCAGTGTGTGTGTGTGTGTGTTGGGTTTTCTGTTTAACTTTGGTTTCTTTTGTGGGTTTTAATGGAAAGATCTTCCCCTTTGCCATCATTGATTATGAGTAACCTGCAGACCAATTCTGAGCAGAGTGTCTAGGCCTGGCTTAGTTTTGGCATATCTTATAACTTCTCTTTACTATGGAAATATTTCATTTTCAAACACAAATGAGAGCTTAGCTGAATGCATTATCCTGGGATGATAATTTTTCTGTTTCAGGGTCTGAAAACCTTCACTCCTTTCTCTTCTTCCTTGAGCGGTCACTTCTGGGAAACTGACAGTGATTTCGAGTGATTTTCCTGTCATTCTTTTTTCATGCTTGGTTTAATATTCTTTATGTTCATTTGAGGGGAGCTTGACAATGACGTGTCTGGGTGAGAGTGGATTTGGTGTTCACTGCCCTTTCTGTATTTGACTTCTCCCTGTGTTCCCCATGTTTGGGAAATTCTCTTTTATAATTTCATTGACTACTTCCTATAAGTTTGCCTCTTTTCCCATGCCTTCAGGAATTATTATAATTCTGATATTTGTTGTCCTTCATTTCTTAAATAGCTTTCTTGGCTTTATTTCCATTGTCCTCTTTATGTTTAATTAATTATGTGTTCTCAAATTGGTTCTCTTCCAATTGTGATATTCTTCTACAGTATAAGTGCTGTAAAAGTGCCCGTGATGTTCAATGATGTCTGATTCCTGATCCATGCAGTTAACTTGTGAGCGCCTAATGGTTGGTAACTTCCCCTGGTAGAGTCCCACTGAATTGGACTCCCCTCCTTTTCTCTTATTATCTTGCTTCTTTCTCTTTGTTTTTCTCTCTTTAAAATGGGAAAGTGCTCATGCTGTTCAGTGATGTTGGATTCCTGATCCGGTGCTGTGAACTGTGAACTTCTCTGGGTGGAGTCCCGCTCAATGAGACTCCTCTCCTTATCTCTTGTTGTCTTTGTTTTTCTTCTCTCCAATAAAGCTCTCTAAAATTTAAACTGAGTTTGCAGAGTGTTTTTTTGCAGATCGAGCCTAACATGAAACCGTATCTGTGCACAGCAAATGGCAAAAGATTAAATGGAGCCTCCCTGTACTGGTTTGAAATCCACCAGGTTTTTGCTTGCATCTTGGGGCGCCTTCACCTAGTTTGCCTGTATGAACCCTCCTGGCTTCCGGCAGCAGTCCTGAACGTTTTCAGCAATTCTTCCTTGCCTGTGGGGCCTCCGCATCCTTCTGATGGACTCCAGGGAGCCCCAGTCACCTCAACCAGCGATTCTCTTCCATCTCTCCACCAGATCCTGCCCTAAACCTATCTGCACTCTAAGCCACACCTGCTTTCCAAAATCAGCTGTCTCTTTGTCTTCCAACATTTCGACATTTTAACTGTTATTTTAAGATCAATAATCCATTTTCACTAATGGAAAATTATAAATTCATATTCGTTTGGCAGTCTGTCGTAAAAAAAAATACTGCAAACTGAGAGTCTTACATAATTAACAATGAACCATTTATACTGAGCATACTAGAAGTCTGGGATCAAAGTGTCAGCAGACTGACGCAGGACCTCTGCATTGAAAACCCAGCGTTTGAAGGGGTGGGACTTCAGACACGACCTGGATTAGCCCTGCTTCTTGCTCCAGGTGCTGTATCTGTTGCCCATGTATCACTGATTTCCATTACTCTTCTCTTGCCCCCGATGCTCTTTTGCAAGCACTCACTGATGGAGGAGGAGGCAAATACATCTTCTCTATATACACTCATCTCAAATGTCATCCTCTGTTGAATTCTTTTTTCTTAAGGTTAGCTTATTTAGTTTAAAGGCAGAATTAAAGAGAGGGAGGGAGAGAGGGGGGCAGGAGGGGAAGGAGAGAGTGAAAGGGAAGAAGGGAGAGGAGGGAGGAGGGAGAGAGGGAAGCAAAATCTCCCATCTGCTGATTTACCTGTTAAATGGCTATACCACTCGGTGCCAGGCCAGGCCAAAGTTTAGGATTCTAGCTAGGATCTTTGACTGGGTCTCCCATGTAGGTGCATGGGCCAAGCCACCCAGTTGTCATGCCTGCACTGCAAGTTGTGGCTTAATGTGCTCCACTACAGTGTTGGTTCCTGAAGTCTTTTAAATTAAACTCAGCAAATATTTTTTCCTTTGACTTACTATATGTACATTTAAATACATATTTTTGTGAATGCTTTAGAGTTTGGCCTGAAAGTGTGACTATACTAATAATTGGAGGGGAAAAACAAAATTATCAATACTTTTTTTGTTTTGGGTTAACATGGTCAATAATTGCCACATGATAGCACTACCTGCACGCACGCATGTGCGCACACACACACACACACACACACACACATATTGTTCCGTCAGGATTTATTCATTATGCTCTCATTAGTGAAGTCTGCTAATTATTTGCTATGCAGAGAAGGTCGATTGCACGTTTTTCTTTGTTTCTTGTAGCAATCCCTCTTGAAACCCAGGAAAAGGAAATCTCACTTGAGGCTGTAGTGCCTGAGGAGCATGCTGTACTCCCAAGACGGGAATCTCAAGTGAAGACACCTGAGCCTGTTAAAAAAGAAAGTCTCAAAGGTAAATAATTTGCTGTGTATCTTGCAAACTTTCAATTCAATGCAAGAGAATCTTGTTTTTGTTGTCTGTATACTTTTGTTTCCTTGTACTTCATTTTGTATTTACGCCCGCAAACTTCTGGATTGCTATGGATCCCTTCCCTGTTTTATAAGCCTCTCTTTTTTTTGAGGTTTAAGATCTCCTTTGCTGTGCTTTGAATATTTACTGTGCTTTTGGAAATACACAAGGGAGATAACTTCTTTCAAAAATAAAAGCAAAGCATAATCAAGATAAAACGGCTTTCTGTTTTTTCGGTTTGCGTTGAGTTGGAGGTGGTTGGGGAGGATATCCCGTTTTTTTTCTTGTATTTATGTCAGATTTTATATCCTATGCATGCAATATCACACTATTATGCTTATGTAGAGAAACTTGCAATTGATTGTCGTTAGTGGCAGAGCAATTTGTTCTAATCAAGAGTCTCAGTTTGGCATTTTAATAGTTTGTGCTTTACTTCCCTTGATATCTGCCTTAGCCGACTGGTAGTATGAGCCACACACTCAGTCTGATTGTTGTTTGAATCATTTTTTTTTTAATTTATTTGGTTACTTTGTCTTTTTTTATATCTTTATGATTCATTGTTTTCAAAAGATATTTGCCATTGTATGTATTTTTCTTTTTATTTTTCTTTGCATCTGCTGTCATAGTGTCATATATTTATTAATTTTGCAGGTGATTTCCACTTTTTCTAGCTAATCCTGTTTTTCCTACCAGATGTTTTATTTACACTCTTTTTTTGCTGTATTTTATCATTATTTATTTTTTATTAACCATAATTGAAGCCCGAAGTTTAGAATGTGAACTTGATATCAAAAGCAAATAAGAACAGGATGGGATCTGCCTGGTACATGGGCCTCAGCCACCTGTATGGAAGACCAGGATACAGTTCCTGACTCCCAGATTCAGCCTGGGTTAGTGCAAGCCTTTGTGGCCATTTGGTGAGTGGAGTGGTGGATGCAAGATTTCTCTCCATGTGTCTCTCTTCCATTCTTGCTCTCTCTCTCTCTCCCTCTCCCCTCTCTCTCCCTCTCCCGTTTCTCTCCCCCCGTCTCTTTCCCTACCTCCATCCTTCTCTTTCTCTCTCTCCCTCTTTCTTCCAACTACTGCTTCACTCTCTAAATGGCCACAAAGGCACAGGCTGAACCTAGGAACCAAGAAACTCCATTCTGATACCCTCATGACTGGTCAGAATGCAAGCACCTGAGACATTGTCTGATGCCTCCTCCTGGCATGCTGCAGGAGAAGGGATTGGAAGCAAAGCTACTAGCTCTCTCACCATGCAACCTGCTGTGGTTCCTGCATATTTCAGCTGCAAGTGATTTCCTTTTGTCGCTAAAATATGATATAAATGAAATTGTATATATTGTCTGTGTGTTGTTTTGTATGTGTGTGCAGAGTAGAAAATTGTATTTCTCTTATCAGTTCAATGTTTTCATCTTGTACAAGATATCATCTTGATCTCCGGTATAGTCAACTAAAAATCTGCTGTGTGACATTAGACCCATACTGACTACTTTTGCATGGCATATCCTTAAACACTTATTGACTTAACAGCTTTTTGCATTCGTAAAATTTGGTGATGGCTTTTGTAATAAGTTCGTTTAAAATTAGTGTGATCGTAGGGTCCTGCCTACAATATATAACCTGTTGAGGTGTGTGTGTGTGTGTGTGTGTGTGTGTGTGTTTGCATAGGATAGCTTTTCAGCATTTTACGTTGAGCTCTTAGTATTATTGTGAGTTTGTGTCTTTAAAATAGTTATAGGTGCTTAACATAGCATTTTATATATTTATATATATATTTATATTTGATGTGAGTATTAATGTTTTGGGAGTTACTGTGCTATCTCTTAGGTTTCGTGTCCTTATTAATGTGCTTCTGAACTTCCTTGTAAATTTTTAGTGTTGTATCACTTTTAACTCATATTTGTTGAAAAAATATGGAGCTTAATTATACAATTCAAATTCCTTAATGAATTATTTTCTTGTTGAGTGTTTTTGTTTTTCTTCATTGTGTTTCTTGATTGAATTCACTGTCTCAACAGTATGGTAGTTGATTGTATGGTTGCCAACATGATGAAGCATATTGTTGGGTATTGGTATGTATTTGACTTTAAAAATTGTTCCAATAATTTGCTCATTTGATAAATTGAAACCATCTTTCTTCTAGTTCAGACTGTAGAAGAAAAGTCAGATGACTATATTAAACCTGAAGATAAATTTGCAGTGCTAAAAAGCCCACCTCAAGTTACAAAAACTGAATCTTTGAAAATTGATAACATACTGAGTAGTAAGTATCATTTCCAGTGTAAATGTATTTTTTATGTCTCTGTTGCTTTCATCTTTTGAGATATTTTGTTTATTATATTTTAGATAACAACTTTACAACATTACTTATTTAAAGTGCAAAGTTGCAGACAGACAGACACAGGTAAAAGGAGAGAAGATGGGAAGACAGAGAGAGGTCTTTGAATTGCTGGGTCACTCCCACAATGATCATGACGTCACGATTGTCTAGGCTGAAAGTAGAAGCCAGAGTTCTTTCTGGGTCTTCCATATAGTCAACCAGCACTTGGGCTCTCTTGCACTGCTCTCCTAGGTGTGTTATCAGGGAGATGGATCAGAATTGGAGTAGCTGGGCCCCCATAGGTGCTCATATGGCATTCAAACGGGATACGGGATACGGGTGTTGAGAGCAGCAGCTTAACCAAGTGCCACAGTGCTGGCCAAAGAGATGACATTTCGAATTTACATGTTGTGAAAGGTAAAGTGAGCTGAATATTGTTGTTGTTAGATTTGTGGGTGTGTAAATAATCAGTACAGTTGTTATGTATTGTTTTTATTGTGCTGCTAAATTCTTTGTTTTCATCAGTATTATATGTTGGTGACATTTGCCTGAGAGATGTATTTTACATTCTAACATTGAGAGTGTAGATTTCTCTATCTCTTGGCAGTTCTGTGATACTGGTTTACATATTTTGAAACTGATATGCAGTAAGTAAAAATTTATAGCTTTTCAACATTTTAATACTTTATATGATTTTATACATATAAAATAAACAAATTTCATGCATTTTACAATGCAAATTTAGGATCATCATGATACTTTCTGCTCTACTTTCTCCTATTGGTGGTCCTTAATTACTATCCTCCCTCCCTACCTCCTTCCTACCTCCCTTCTCTCCATCCTTTCTTTCTTTCTGTTTGTTCTTAAAAGATTTACTTTTTAAATTGGAAAGTCAAATTTACAGAGATAGGGAGAGACAGAGAGAAATATTTTCAATCTGCTTGTTCACTCCCCAAGTGTCCACAAGAGCTGAAGTTGAGCCAGTTGGAAGCCAGGTCCAGGAGCTTTTTCCAGGTCTCTCACACAGGTGCAGGGTCCCAAGGCTTTGGGTCATCCTTCACTGCTTTCCCAGGCCACAAGTAGGGAGCTGGATGGAAAGTGGAGCTGCTGGGATTAGACCCGGTGCCCATATGGGATTCTGGCACATGTAAGGCAAGGACTTAAGGCATTAGGCTATGTGATGGACCCTCTCATTGTTTTTTTTAAAACATATATATAAGGCATACTTTCATTTCAGCTAGAAATCAAAGGCTTCACATTTCATTAGGTAAAGAATTAAGCAAAATAGCAAGGTAAAAATTGAAACCATTCCTTAATAGTATATTCTCATGGATGTAGATTGCATTTTTTGCTCTTTTTATTGTAGTAGTCAGAGAAGACAAGGTTTGATTTCTGATCTCTTGTCAAAAATCAGTTGGCTGTGGATGTGTGGGTAAATTTCTGGAGTGCTTGTTTTATTCCATTAATATGCATGTCTAATTTTGTGTCAGTGTCAGGTGGTTTTGGTCGTAACTGCTCTGTGAGATATGTTGAAGTCCAGTGGTGTGATGCCTCTTGCTTTGTTTCTGTTGCCTTAACTTTAGCTATTCAGAGTCTTTTGTGCTTCAGGGTGAATTTTAGCAATAAGTTTTATAGATCTGAGAATAATGGCACATGTATTTTGTTAGGAATCACACTGACTCTTTAATGTTAGTCTGTAAACATGGAAATTTTGATATTCTACCAATCCACGAACCTGGAATAGTATTCCTTTTTTTTTTTTTGGTTTTTGGTTTTTATTTATTTCCTTAATGTTTTATATTTTTTTATCATACATATCACTAACAACATTGGTTAAAGTTATCCCAAAGCATTTAAAATTTCTGCAGCTATTATGAGTGGGACTAATCTTAAAAATCCTCACTTAATCATGTCATTTTTAGTGTATACAAGGACTATTGCTTGTTTTGTGTATTGATTTATTTATTTTGCAGTGTTACCAAACTCACTCATGAGCCCCATTAGTCCCTCAGTGAGATCTTTTTGGTTCCACTGTATAAGAAATCATGTCATCATCAAATAGAGGTAGCTTGGCTTTCTCCTTTCCAATTTGTGTCTATTTGATTCTCTTTTCTTACCTCGTGACTCTGTCCAAAACTCCCAGGGCAGAATTGAGTATCAGAGATGACAGTAGATATCTTTGGTTCCAGTTCTTAGTGAAACTGCTTCTGAATTTTTCGCTCTCAGTACAATCCTGGCCATAGGTTTTTCATATATTTTCTTGATTATATTTGTGAGTGTGCCTTCTATACCCAGTGTGCTGTAGATTTTTTTATCATAAAAAGTGATTGCGTTTTAGGACATGATCTCTCTGCATCTCTTGAGATAATTGTGATTTTTATTCTTCAGCTTGTGAATATGACATCGTAATTCTTGATTTGCATATGTTAAATCATTCCTGTACACCAAGGGGAAACCCCACCTGGTCCAGGTGAATGACATTTCTGATGTGTTTTAGATTTCATTAGCTCGCATTGTATTGAGGACTTTCACGTCTAGTTCATCTGACAGACTAGTCTGTAAATCTCTGTGTTGCATCTTTTTCTGGTTTGAGCGTTAATGTGACGCTGGCCTCACAGCAGAAGTTTGGGAGGATTCCTTCCTTTTCAATTGTTTTAAACAGTTTGAGGATTGAAATTAGTTCTTCTTGAACAGTATGATAGAAATTGTCAATACAACAGTTTTGTCCTGCTCTTTTCTTTGTTGGAATTGTCTGTATTACTGATTCAGTTTCTGTGTTAGTTATTGGTCTGTTTAGGTTCTTTGTGTCCTCGTGATTCCATTTGCCTAGATTTTTTGTGTACTTGAATGTATCCATTCACTCTATTTTTTTTTTTTTAATTGGCATGTAGCTATCCCTGATGAATATCTGTATGTCCATTTAAAAAAAAAATAGAGTTGTTTTGTTTTTGTTTGAAAGGGATATTTACAGAAGGGAGAGCAGAGAGACAAGGAGATCTTTCTACTGTCTCCACTGGTTTACTCTACAGATCCACTGGCTTACTCCTCAAGGAAACAGCTGGCACTGAGCTGATGTGAATTCAGGAGCCAGGGGCTTCTTCAGGTTTCTCAAGTGGGTGGAGGGACCCAAGAACCTGAGTCATCTTCCACTGCTTTCTCAGTATCTAAGCACAGGATTGGATCACAATGGGAACCACCAGGACTGCAAGTGGTGCCCATATGAGACACCAGAACTGCAGGCAGAATACCTTTTTGAGCCACTACACTGTCTCCTGTGGTGTTCATATTTATATCTCATTTCTAATCTCAGATTTTACTGATTTGGATCTTCTTTCTCTTTTGGAGTTAGTTGAGTCGATGATGTATCTTCTTTTTTTTTTTCTGTAATGCGGCTCTGCAATTCCCTGATTTAATTATCACTTTTTGATTACAGTTTTGTTTATTCTCTAACATTATTTCTTTCCTTGTACTAACTTTTGGTTTTCTTCATTGTTTCTAGGTCCTTGAGGTCTGTCTTAATTCCCTGGTGAACAGAAGAGATAGTATGATTTTAAGGGTTTTTTTTTATCCTCTTTATTTGTTTTTTAATTGTTTTTCATAGAGTTTAGTTGGTCCTCGCGACTCCTTTCCCCCAAATTCCCTCCCCTCCTCTCCATTTTCACAATGTGTGCTTTTGTGAATTTCTCCAAGTCCATCATGTTGCCATTGGAATATTTCATTGTGAGTTCATTCTTGTATCTCAGGGTTGCAATGTAGGTACAATGAGGATTAGATCTTCATTATTTAAAGGCAGTACCAATAACAGTGATAAAAGGGACATTGACCATCTCAGGTGGTTATAAACAATCAGCATCTTATAGATGATTGATTAATCAATTACATCACAAGATCTTATTATAGAAGCTACAGGTAAGTATGAAGTGACATAGAGTAAGATTCATTTATAATATTCCTAGATTTGACATCATATTATCTTGTATTCGGATTAACATATGATAGCTGGCCTTTTGGGATTGGCTCACTTCCCTTATCATAAAGGTCTTGAGTGTGGCCCATTTGGCCTCAAAGTATTGTATTTCTTTTCTTTCTTTCTTTCTTTCTTTTTTTTTTTGATAGCCTAGTAGTATTCCATAGTGTAGATGAACCACAGTTTTTTGTTTTTTTTTTTTTTTTTTATCCAGTCCTCTGTTAATGGGCATTTAGATTGTTTCCAAGTCCTTGTGATTTTTGATTGTGCTGCAGTGAACATTGGGCTACATGTTGCTTTCTCGTGTTACTTTTTGATATATTCCCAGGAGTGGTATTGCTGGATCATATGGCAGGTACATTTTTAATTGCCTAAGTATTCTCCATGCTGATTTGCACAGTGGTTGACTGCATTCCAACTAGCAGTGGAGTAGGGTTCCTTTTTCTCCACAACCTTGCCAGCAGAGGTTGTTGGTTTTCTGTATGTGGGCAGTTCTTTCTGATGTTAGGTTGTTTTCTTTTTGAATTTCTTTTATTGCCAGAGAGCTTGAGCATTTTTTTCATGTGTCTGTCAGCCATTTGAATTTGTTTCTAAAAAGTATCTGCGCATTTCCTGTGCCCATTTCTTAATTGGTTTGTTTGTTTTGATGTTACTGTTGTTCTGGAGTTCTTTGTATCATCTGGAAATTAGCCCTTTCCCTTTGTCTCCTGTGTAGTGTGCAAAGATCTTCTCCCATTCCATTGTTTGCCTTTTTACTTTGTTGATTGTTTCCTTTGCTATGCAGAGGCTTCTTGGCTTAATGTAGTCCCGTTTGTTTATTTTGATCTTGACTTCCTTTGCTTTTGGTGATTTTTTTTTTTTTTGGCCTTTATCTATATCTTATAGAGTATTTTTGCATTTTCTTCATAAAGTTTGATGGTTTCTAGGTATAGGTTTAGAATTTTTATGCAATAGGACTTCATCTTTGTGTATGGTGAACGGTGTCTTGTCTCTTATTTCTAAATGCTATTAGCTAGTTGTCCCAGTAGCATCTATTGAAGAGACTTTCCTCTTTCTTGGATTACTTTCTGTTTTCTTGTCAAAGTTTAGATAGTTGTGCATGTGTGGATTCCTTTCTGGATTTTCTATTCTATTCCACAGATCTGCGTCTCTGTTTCTGTGCCAGTTCCAGCCTGTATTAGTAACTACCACCTATAGTATATCTGAAGATCTGGAAATGTGATCCCTCCTGCTAGGTAATTATTCTTCAAGATATTTCTGGCTATTCATGATTTTTTGTGTTTCCATCTCCTTTGCATCATTTTTTTCTGCTCTGTGAAGAATGTTTTTGGTATTTTGATAGAAATATTTTTGAATGTATATATTGCTTTTGGTAATATGAACACTTTGATGATGTTGACTCTGCCCATCCATGAGCATGGTATATTTCTCCGCATTCTGAATTCTTCTATTTCTTGTCTTAATGTTTTGTAGTTTCCCTCATATAGGGCTTCCACACCATTTATTAGATTTATTCCTAGGTGTTTCATTTTCTTCTCTGTTATTTTGAATGGCATCATGTTGATTAGTTCTTCTTCAGTCTTGGGGTTATTTGCATATGCTATGTCTGGTGATTTCATTTGTGTTGTACCCTGTGGCTTTGCTGAATTCTCGTATAAGGTGTAACAGTCTCTCTGTTGAGTCTCCTGATTCTCCTATGTATAAAATCATGTCATCTGCAAACATAGATAACTTGACTTCCTCCTTTTCCATGTGGATTCCTTTGATTTTTTTTTTTTCTTAACTAATAGCACTTGCGAGCACTTCCAGTACTATGTTAAATAGCAGTGGTGATAATGGACATCCTGTGGCGTTCCAGATCTTACCAGGAAGGCTTTTAATTTTTCCCCATTCAATGTGATGTTGGCATTGGGTTTTAATATATTGCTTTGATCATGTAGTGGATTATTCCCTCTATGACTACTTCATTTATTGCTTTTAGCATGAAATGGTGTAGGATTTTGTCCAAAGATTTTTCTGCATCTGTTGACATTATCATACGATTCTTGTTCTTTAATTTTTTGATGTGGTGTGTCACATTTATAGATTTACAAATGTTGAACCATCCCTGCATACCTGGGATGAACCTCACTTGGTCCAGATGTATGATCTGTCTGATGTGCTTTTGTATTCTGTTGGTTAGTGTTTTGTTCAGGATCTTAGTGTCAATATTCATCAAGAGTATTGGTCAATAGTTTTCTGTCTCTGATGGATGTCTATTGATTTTGCTATTAAGGTGATGTTGTCTTTGCAATAAGTTTGGAATAATTGCCTCCTCTTCTAATTATTTAAAGAGTTTATGGAGCATTGGGGTCAGATCTACTTGGAATGCTTTGTTGAATTCAGCAGTGAATCTGTTTGGGCCTGGACATTTCTTTTGGGGGAGGCCTGTGTCTATGGGATGGAAGTTTATATATATGTATATATATCGATTAGGTCGATTTGTTCTGTTGCCTGTGTGAGTTCTGTTGTTTCTTTTTTGACTTTCTGTTTTGTTGATCTATCTAGTGGTGTTAATAGAATGTTACATAGCCTCAAAATGATTGTATTGGCATCAATGTCTCCTCTTAAGTCTGTCAATAATTGCTTCATATAACTATGTGCTCTCGTATTTTGGCATGTAAATGTTTGTTATCAGTATTTCTTGAGGGGTGGCTCCTTTTATCATTATGTAGTGTCTGCTTTTATCTCTCTTAATATCTCTAATGGTGAAGTCTATATTATTCCCAATTAGCACAGCTACACCGGCTCTTTTTTCCTTTCTATTGGTGTGAAATGTCTTTTCCCATCCTCTCACTTTCAGCTTCTTTACATTTTTGTTGATTAGGGTTGTCTCCTGAAGGCTGCAGAGAGGTGGGTCCTGCTTTTTGATCCATTTTGTTAATCTATGTATTTTGAATAGGGCGCTTAGGTCATTTGTGTTCAGAGTTAGTATTGAGAGATTGTAATTTAGCCCTGTCATCATTGTGTGTGTGTGTGTGTGTGTGTGTGTTTAATTTTGTTTCTTTTTATGTGTTTTAGTGTGAAGATCTTCCCCTATCCCATCTTTGATTAAGATCTAATTCTGATCATTCTGTCTTCAGCACATTTCTGAGAAACATTTCTAGGCTTGACTTAAGTGTTGACATATTCTTCTAGTTTTTCTTTACTGTGGAAATATCTTGCTTCGTTTTCAAATAGAAATGAGAACTTTACTGGATATAATGATGAGCTGTGCGGTGTTTGTGTGTTTAAAGACCTAAGTGCATGCCACACATGATTGTGCAAAGAATTTTAACATCATGATATGTTAGACTTCCACTTTCCCAATTTGTGGAGGATCCACTCAGCCCAATGAGCCTTGCCTAACCACAGAGAGAACAGATGCATTTCCAGTGCCAGCTACTTATGAGTGCTCCGCCTTGTTACTTTATGCCTTGTAACCTGTAAAAGTGTGAGGGGTGTGTGCACCTAACAATCCCAATTGCACATAGCCACCCCTGCCAAACTGGAAGGGTAGATTCAAAGGCTGTGGGCATATGGAATAATGTCCAAGGGAATAATATCCTTTAGACATCATCACAGAAACATGTGCATATGTGCATACCCAGGGTCTGCAAACTGCTGAGCTGTTAAGACATTTGTTGATCCCAATGAGGTAGTCTCTTCTGGTTGGTCCATGGCCTCTTCAAAATGGTGCTTTCTCCCTGCTGATCCATGCACTTCGTGGGGAAGATGAGGAGGAAAAAGTGTTCTGCTCCCCAAGGATGACACACCAGAATCCTAACCCCACTCTGGCTCCAGCCTAAGCTCGTAGTCAGAGGAGTATATGGGAGTCTATCAGATAGTGTAATCATCGACTCTGCTTTCCACCATCAGATCCCACCTTTATCATCCTCATCTTTCTCCAACACAAACCTATCTTCTCACGAATTTTTTGCCATCTTCTTAGCAAACATAAGAATTTTTTAATCTGATGAAGTGTTACAAACCTTTTTGCTCTGATGATACCTACTATGGTGGTTTTATCTTAATAGATCCTCTTTCATTTTAATTTTATGATTTATCAGCAAGGGAGAATTACAAGTTGGCTAAATGAAAACCCTGGGACACAAAAAGTTCTCCATTAATTATGAGCAGCTCTGTTCCCCCTGATTATTGGGATCAATCCCGTGCCCAGTAGAGAAACCCCCATCTGCTGATTGAATGATTTGATTGACTGGAAGTCCAAATGACAAGCTGTTTCACTTCTAGTATATTTATGTGACTACCTTTCTTTCTTTCTTGGGCACAAAGGGCATTGTTGTAATGTAACTCCATTAAAGGCTTTGAGAAATTAAACAAAAATTCTGTAAGTGGATTATTAATGTACACACTGTATAGAGTCGTAAGACTTGGAGTGGAGAGCGCAATATGATATCATCTGGGTTAAGGTGTGTATTAAATCCTGTGGGGATCTACACATTTGTCTCTCTGGGTGCTGCCTTTCATATATCAAAGAAATTGGAACTTTACCAAAGCATTTCACTATTTCAGCAAACTTGACTCTTCTGAGTGATGGGATTTGTAGTAATGCCAGTAAATTTTAAAGGCAAAAGCTCCTTATGATGAGTTGCAGGCATGTAGCATTTCTGTTTGGAAATGATGCAAAGGCACGAGGACAGTGAAAGTGATATTTTTCAGGATTATGAACTAAAGAAAATAAATTAGTAACCTTTCTCGTTGAGGCCATATTGCTGCTCTCTTAGGTAAAATTTATGGCAGTGCATCTCCACCCATGTGATTTGCAGGAAAATGACACTGTATCAGCAGACTTAGTTTATCCTGTAATTTTGCCAAATTGAAACTTTAGTAGTGGCAATATCTAGCATTATTCCTAAGTGTGAAAATTCCATATGGCATATACCTATTGCAAAACTGCTTCCATAGCCTCTGGGTATGTAGATGCATGAAATAAGCACAAAAATAGCTAGTCCAATAATCTTACTGACCTTCAGAGACAGGTCATCTGGTGAAGAGCTGACACAGATATAAACTCCACCTTTTGCGTGGCACGTGGATCATTATATGCACTTCCATACTTCCCTAGAAAATCTTCCCCAGGACTTCCTCATTATCTTTTTTCTATATTTTTATTACATTTGCTTAACCACCTGACCACAGATTAAAGAAATCTAAATCTCAGACTATTCCTAATTCCACATATAGTGCATCCCTATACACACCTCCTCCCAAACTTGCCCTCAAGAATTGCCCTCCACTCTTGGCCTTCAGGACTCCCCTTTATTGTGTAGTGTGATTGCAAGACCGTGTCAGATGGAGAGTTTATCTACAAGTATCCTCAAATAGGATGAGCAATCTAATATAAAAATGCGCAAAAGATAAAGAAATTGCAGAAGAATTTGGCTTTCAGTGTTTGTAGCAAGAATGATAATGATTACTATTTCAGAACAAATGAGTGATGTTAAATATCTGCAATCATAAACTCTGAAGAATTCTAATATGTAGTTTTTTTTTTTTTGCCAAGAATAAGCACTTTTGCCCCTACTTTGGTATGTAATTCATATCATTCATGTCCTATGTTATATAATTTTCCCTGCCTTTTCTCTTGCATTAGGAAAAAGCATGTGAGTTTTTTCATATAATTCAATGATTTATTCAGGAATGCTAATCTTGTTATAATTTTTATGTGCTTAGTTGGTGATTATTTAGCAATAGACATACATTTTGAAAATGATCACATAATAAAATAATACATCCTTGTGTTTGAACATGGTACTTGTGTTTGAATGACTCTTTTCAGTGTATTTTGAACATTTGTTTTGTAGGTCAGAGGGTGGTTCAGGAGGCAGATCAGCATGTTTTGCCCTCAGAGTCAAAACCAAAAGATCATACTCAAATGAGTGAAGCCAGAAATGCCCAACTGAAAACACCTGGTATGTTCAATATAAATTATAAGCATAAATTATCAAATAGTCATTTGAGAAAATTTGGGTGTTGTGATCACAAAGGGATATCCAATTAAATCATTTAGGCTTTTATAATTAAACATCTGAAGTAATAGCAAGAAAAACAGAGGAACGCTTGGTATCTATTAAAGATTTATTGTTAAATTTAACAGATAATCCCCAAAGAAACCCCAGAGGGAATTCATTGTTGCCACTGCATGAAGGCAAGATGGAGAGGTGGATTAATTTGCCTTCAGCACATAATTAAATTCATACAGAAAATCTAGTTCTTTCCTGTGTTGTAATCACCTCATGAAAGCTGGAGGGACTATTGGAGCATGTGATCATGTTTGACCTTAAAGTAGGGAAATAATTTCTTTTAAACTCTGATGCAAAACCCTTCTTTGGATGTTTTTCTGTCTTGCTAGTATTCCTCTGTTGCAGTTAAAATGTCTTATAGTTGTTCTTATAGCATGGCAGCAGTTGTAGAGACAGCAGGGTGTTCCCAATTTCAGTTCTTTAAAATGTTAATAAATGTTGGCAAATTGATTGAAAAGAAATTTAATTTGAGTTTTCTTAATTGCTTTTATAAATTTTATGTTTGGCAGAGTTAAACATGCAAGAGATGGTCTCTTTTCAACATATTGGAGAAAATATATCTTTAATGAATACCCCCAGTATTCTACTTTTTGGTTACATAGCATATATTTAAAATTGAAAGCAGGATTAAATCTCATGCTTTTCTGTTTAAACCAATTTATAAAATGTCATAACAATTTAGTTGGAAAAGGAAAAACTTAAATTACTTAGGATATATTCTTTCCCATGGTTATTATTTATTAAATTGCTGCATCCCTACCTTTGGAACCTGAAAGAATCAAGTAGAGCACTGTATCAATGGGGGTATTCATCAGAACAGCTGATGCAATAGTTCACTGGAACCCAACAATGCTACTGCCTGAGGAGGGTCTCCAGCATGTTCACCGAAAGCACATTCTAAGGAGAGCTTTCCTTTGCTTATGCATGAAAGCAGCCTTATCTTGTCTTTCCATTCTATTTTACCTAGACAGTTTGAAGTACTCTCATAGCTTCCAGCATTGAGTAAAGTGAACATTTAACAAACACCGGGAACCATGCTGTAGTTGTTCAATAGAATCAGTAAACATTAATTAGAAAAAGAAATGTTGGGGAAATACAAAGGCGTCTTATTCTTCTAAGACTTTCTAAAATTACGCACTTCAGTAGTAATTTCAATGATTAGACATGGTTTCAGTTGTTGCTCGAATTTTATAAAGCATAGAGCCATTATACATTATAGATTATACATTGTATACATTATACAATGATTATACATTTTATATTGAAATAACATTTCAAGATAAAAAATTAAAAATAGAAAAGGAAGCAATCTTGGGCAAGAGGCATTTAACCTATCTTATTATAATGGCATAAGATATTATAAGATATTATATTTTACAAGTTGTATCAATACGGATGGGTAATATTGATTACTTAGTCAATCTTCTATTATTCAGCAAATGGATCTTCAGATATATAGATGTATTCCACAGAAAGCATGACATTAAGTAAATGCATAGGTTAATTTTCAGGAAAGCCTCCCTAAACATGACTTCATATCTTGCAATTTAATGAAAAGATCATTGAAATTTATTATATAATAATTTGAAATTTATGCAAATGGTGGTAACAAAGTCAAAATTGAAAAGCAAACAATAAAAATGACTTTGTGATAGTAAAAAATGTATATGTGTTATATGAAATATTACTTATATATAAGCATATTAGTAGCATTATTAGATTATTTCCTTTTTGAAAACTTTGTAGTAACAAAATGTAACAGCTTTTTTTGAAGCACGTGACAAAAATGGCGAAGTCAATAAAAAAAAAGTCATATACCTCATATCCAGCTTCCTCTGTTGCTACCAGCATATGTTGGTATAATAACTAAATATTGTTAAATATTTGATTATTTAGTGATCGATTTGTCACAAAATAATTATCACCACTTTTATTCAAACGCCCTCTACACCTTGCAAACCTTTCCCAGTCTCTCATAATCAACATTCCATGTTCACATTGAGAGGATATTTTAGATTTATTTTTATTTAAAAGGCAAATTTTACAGAGTGAGAAGGAGAGAAATGGAGTGAAGCTCTTCTATCTGCAGGTTCACTCCGTAGATGGCCACAATGGCTTGAGTTGAGCTGATCTAAAGCTGGGATCTAGGAGCTAGGAGTTTCTTCCAGGTCTCCCATGTGGGTGCAGGCTCCCCACGGCGTGGGCCATCCTCCTCTGCTTTCCCAGACAATAAGCAGGGAGCTGGATTGAAAGTGGAGCAGCCAGGACATAAATCTGCTCCTCCAGGTGGAAGACCAGATTAGTCTGCTGTAACACCACGGTGGCCCTGAAAGCGTTTTTTAAGTTCCTAAGATAAGAGAAAACATAGTAGTTGTCTTTCTGTATCTGGTTTATTTCACTTAAAATGATGTCCTGAAAAATATAAATGAAAAAGCTGGATGGACATACATGTTTTGTCATACAAGATGTGGTAGTGGAAAATAATTTCCAGTTTGTTGTATTTCTGCCTCATCATACCAACTTTATATGAAGAAAGTCATCGATAAAGATTATAATGATTTACACTCTTGTTAGTAATTTTAGAAGTTATTGGTGCATCACTAGAAATTGTCATCAAAATGTATTCTTTCTTTTGGGAGTATATGTATGGGAATTAATATAATTTGAACTTTTCAGAGTTTTATCTGAAAAATGCAAAATCTGTAAGATTGGTGCCAGTGTTATGCCCTAGTGAGCATGATTGTTGCTTGCAATGCAGTCGTGCCATGTGAGTGCCGGTGCACGTCTCACGAGCACACATCCAACAGTTTTTCCAGTTAAAGGCTGGCAAAAATGGAAAAGAATGACTCAAGTGCTTTGTGTTCAGCTACCATCTTGGGAGACGTAGAGGAGGCTCCTGACTCCTGGCTTCAGCATGGCCCAGCTCTGACCTTTGCAACCAGCTGAAGAGTGAACCAGTATAGACAAGATCTGTCTTTTTCTCTCCCTCTTTCTCTGTAAATTTTTTCAAATAAATTAATAAACCATAAAAAGTCAGGTTAATTTTGTGACATTTATTTAGGTAATTCTTGTGTTAATATTGTGATATCTAAATGTATCATGAAATTGTAGGTATTAGCAATGGTGCAAAATCTAGTATCATATTCAGACAATATTACCTGCTTAAGGTTAGTACATAATAGAAACAATTTCAACATTGTTTTATTTTAATTTGCTGGAACTTTATTTTATCTTGATAGATCATGACCTGACTAAGCTCCCAGAAGAGAGTTTTATACTTAAAGGTGTAGAAACAGGACACAAGGTTCAAATCAAAACAAGTGATTCTAAGCAACCTCGAATATTGACAAGTACGTATGATGTTGACATAAACCTTTTTAAATAATGGGCATAAAATAATTTTTTAAAAATGTATATGGCTTTATATTTGAATATTACCTTTAAAATGGAAACTTTTAAAGGTAACTTGTTAAGAATTAGAATTCGTAAAGCTAGTAAATTACTATATTGTATACTTTAAATTTATTTGAGCAGTCTGGGTTTTTTTTTTTTTTTTCTTATACTGGAGTTTCACAAACTGACAATAGGAACGTACTTCCTAGGAATTTTATTTACATACTGATAGTACATAAATATTTTTGTTCTTTTCATGAAGGTTTGAGTTTTATTGATGAGATTACATGAAAGATATTATAAAATATGCATTTGAATCAACATAGGTATAAGAAATGTATAAAAATTATTTTCTAAAATATTCATTCCTTTAAAAAAACCACATTCATCTAGCCCTCCCATTTCAATTCTTTTTTTTTTTTACTTTTTAATATTATTATTATTATTTTATGATACAGTTCCATAGGCCTTGGGATTTACCTTACTCCACTTCACGCTCTAGTCCCCTCTGCCATCCCTGCTGAGTTCCCTTGTATTAATACTTTAGTATAGTTTTTCATAAACAGTCTATGTCCATTGTGGTGGGCATGGACAATGGCAAAGAGTTCAGCATCCTATTGTCAAAATATAGTTAGCAGTTTCACTGGGACCCCATCTTTGATCTGGAAGTAGAAATGCATACTGCATTGTATCCTCACATCTGGATATGTTAGTCCTCACTACACGGTTACTATACATCCCCTTAAATGAAAATCCACAATACAAAATCAACAACATGAAAAAATAGAAATTTACAATACAATGAAGTTAAATAGCATGCTATCAAATTTTTAATGTGTCACTGAAGAAATGAAAAAGAAAATCAGGAACCTTCTTAAAGTAAATGACGCTACTGTATGATCTATGAATCAGTGAAAATTTTGAGAAAGTGTTTTAAAGAGATGAAACTAAAAAAAAATGAAAATCCATGAGAGAACATCTTTTTAAAAATTTAATTTAATTTAATATTTTATTATTATTAATTACATTGCATTATGTGACACAGTTTTATAGGTACTGGGTTTCCCCCAATGCCCCCCAAATCTTCCCCCCAATGGTGTTTCCTCCACCTTGTTGCATTACCACAGTTCAAGTTCAGTTGAGATTCTTTCATTGCAAGCATCTACCAAGCATAGAGTCCAGCATCTTACTGTCCAGATAAGTTCAGCAGCTTCTTGGGGACACTATCTCTGGTCTGAAGGTAGAGCCAGAAGAGTGTCATTCCAATCAATTAAAAGCCCCAATGTAACATCAGGAACAATTTATGACGTTATGGAATTAATTGACATAGTATAGAGTAACCATTATATTAAAAAAAAATCCAAGTTCTGAACCACATCCTGTGATTTCTTCATTGACATTTCAATTTTAGTTTATATACAACCGGGTTCTATACACCTTAAAATGGCTATAGATTCAGCTGTCTCATGTCTATTTTCATTATAGTAGTTAGCATTTTATAGCATTGAGGCATAATCTTGCTGAACCTGGCTTTTTTCAGGTAGTTTAGACTGGCTTATAACTCTAACAAGGCATATGTCAATAATTGAGGTGCAGCACAGTTTTAGGAGGGGTTACAGAGAAATCTTCAATATCCTGGTGAGGAGTAACTAATCTTTGTGTCCCACCTAGTAAAGTATAAGTGAATCCACGCTGACCGTTTCCTATCTGATTCTAAGCTTTCCTTGTTGTGCTCTATCTATTCTAGATTTTTTGTTTGTTTATTTTGAGGGGTTTCTGGCGAGATCCTGATGGTCATTTGCAGAGGGGGTGGGGACCCAAAGTTGGAACTAAGCAAGGGCCAGAGAAAGCTCCTCTCCCTAGTCCCAAAGGAAGTTTACTGTTCTGTTTCTGTGGACCACTCAGGGCTCTTGGCTGTTGTTCTGATGACCTTGGATCCTGCGAGGAAGGATTTGGACTTCTTCCATCCCATGTGGTAGATCCAAGCAGAAGTGGATGACCTCAGAGTTCTTGGCCTCCAAAGGCACTCCAATTCCCCGTAGTCTCCTTGGCAGTTGGGATGTAGTCCTTGGTGCTCGTACTGATAGCCCTTTGTGAGGATCCGGGAGTCTTCAGAGTTGGGATACAAGCCTCCTCCTGTCCCCCTGTTCCACTCTGGGGTTTCCCCCGCTATTCTGTGCATATGACCTCCTGTTAAGAGGTTGTCAGGATCGCCCTTGATTCCCCCTAAATGTCTTTGTAGTTTAACTAGTGTTTAATGCTGATTTGAGTCTGTGTCTATGAGTTACCAGTTATGATCCTGGTAGGTTATATTTCACATTTTCTTTTGTGTAGGGCAGGTTTGGAAGAGGTAAATTCTTTTAAATTTACTGTGGAAGAATTTTATTTTCAAGGAAAAAGAAGTTTGCTGGGTATATTATTCTGGGTAGCTAATATTTTTCTTTTAGAATCTTCACTGTGTTGCTCCATTCTCTTCTGGCCTATGGAGTTTCCTGTGAACTTAATTGGCAGATCTTTATATGTCAGTCAATTTTTTTTTTCATATGCACATTAAGGAACTTTTCCTTATGTTCAGTTGAAGAGAGCTTGATTATCATGTGCTGTGGTAAAGATCGCCTTTGTTCAACCCTGTTGGGAGTTCTGTGCCCCTCCAGGGTGTTTCCCAATTCTTTCTCTAAATTAGGGATATTTTCCCTTACTATTTCATTGCATATACCTCTAATCCCAGCTTCTCTTTCTGCACTTTCTGGGACTCCCATAATTTATATTTGGTCTTTTAATAGTATCTCTTAATTCTTGAATACTTTTTTTTAGCTTGACTCAGCTCTGCTTCCAGCTTTTTTTTTTTTTTTTTTGCTTCACCCTGGTGACAGGAAATATCTTCCAATTCTGAGATTCTTTCTTCTGCTTGCTTCATTTTATTTTGGAGACTCTCCGCTGTACTTGTAACTTGCTCCACTGTATTCATTTTTAATATATAAGCTTTCATTTGATTCATTTCCTGTGTAACATATTCCTTAAATTCCTTGAATGCCTGCTTTATGTGCTTCTCATTGTTGCTAAGAAGCTCTATAACAAGTGTTTTGCATTCTGAATCCCCCATTTTCTCGATGTATTCCTTGGTTAGTTCTGAGGTTGGCAAAGGGTTTTCCTCCTTTGCAGTGGAGTCTTCAGTAATATTTTGATCATGGCCTGAGATGAATAGGTCCATGATAGCACAGGTCATGTCACTCATGATTTCACAATACTTTATCAGGGTTTTTAAAGCAGTGCTTTTAATTACTTTTAGTATGTTTAGTACTCTGTAACTTGATGTATTTAAGCTGACAGGTTACATTACAAATTTTAAAAGGTTAAATATTTTATGGTATAGTGTTTTTTTTACTAGTTTTATGTTATACAACTTTACCCCAAAGTAAACATTAAATAACATGATATGAAAATTTATTATAATTTCAGCTAAACATGAAACAATGCCAGAACCTCCAAATAAAGTGAAAAGTGTTCCAGTATCTGGTACATCAATAGATGACCTAATACTTCACTTAGGATTAGACAAAGTGATTGGTAAGTACAGATTCATGTTTTAAAATAGGATGTTGCCTAAAATGCAAAGTTATTTCTACTGTACAGTTCTAGTTTTTAAGTATGTAATAGAAAGTTCAAGTATGTTATAATCTTCTTAGTTTACTTCTTGCATTTTATTCAGTCAACCTACAATTGCACATTGAATAGATTCTATTGAAGCTTGTCATTAAAAACAATTTTTATTTTGAATGTCATATTTTGTGCTCATGGTAGATTTTGAATGGTACAATGTAATACTTAACTCATATGTGCAAGAAATGATGATATCAGAGCGGATAGCATTTATTTTACTTTTTAAACATTTAAAGGTAATTGTGATAAACGTCTAGCAGCTGCACTTGTTTCTGGGGAAGAGTGATATTTTTAATGTATTTCCAGTATATACTGTCAAATCAGGGAGGTTAACATTGAAATCCACTTAGTATTGCTTTATGTTGTGACCTTTAGTATCTTGTCTTCTGTTTACTCATGAACATGTAATAGATTTTGTGAAGTGTGGTTACCCCACTCTGTCCTAGAACATCAGGATTCATTCCTTCACCTTGGTACCTGTTGTACAACCTCCCCCTCCAGCCCCTTTCCTCTCACTCTTGTGCTTTATTACTCCTTAGTCTGTGTGCACAGTGTTGGCTTCCAAATATGGAAGAGAACATGAGGAGTATATCTTTTGAATCTGGCAAAGCAAACAAGGTGGCATAACAAACTTGACTAACACCAAATTGGCAATATGACCGTCTTTCAAATGGTTTATCATTAAGTTGAAAATTTTCTAGTTTTTTTAAAAAACAGTTTTTAATTTATTTGAAAGAGAGAGACTAAGAGAGCTCTTTTGATCCACTGATTCATTCTGAAATGGCACACAACTCCTGGGAAGGGCCAACTAAAGCCTGGGCGTGAAGATGCAAAATTCTCAATAAACTATGAACAAATAAAATGTAAAGGTGCAGCAAAAGATTTATACATTATTTCATTTTAAAATTATTTTATTCATGTAAACCGAACAAATTTCATGTGCATGCCAGTATAGCTTTTGGAGCATAGTGGTAACTGCCTCCCCTTAGTTCTTAATCATGAACTTAACTCTCCCTTAGGCAAAGAATTCAACAACCAGAAGATAGAAAAGCCAAAACAAAACCAAAAAAAAATTATTCTTTTTATGGCTCAGTACTATTTTACTGGTTTTTTTTTTAATATGTATTTTCATTGGAAGTCAGATATACAGAGAGCAGAAGAGACAGAGAGGAAGATCTTCAATTTGATGATTCACTCTCCAAGTGACCACAATGGCTGGAGCTGAGCCAATCCGAAGCCAGGAGCCAGTAGCTAGGAGCTTCTTTCCAGGTCTCCCGCGTGGGTGCAGGGTCCCATGGCTTTGGGCTGTTTGTTTGTTTGCTGCCTAGTTATCCAAAGAGTATTTTTCTCTGTCGGATATTTGTATTTCATCCTCTGAAAATTACTTGTTCATGTCCTTTAACCATTTATTAACTGAGTTGTTTGTTTCTTTTTGGTTTCTTGATCTCACTATAAATCCTGGGTATTAATGTTTTGTTAGTTGAATACTTTCAAATCTTCCTCCCATTTCTCATTTTCCTTGTTTCCTCATCAACTTGCTTCTGCTTTCCTTTTCAGAAGCTACTTTTCTTGATGTAATCTCATATATTTATATATTTGCGTTGATAGCATAGGTCTTCAGGGCCTTTCTAAGAAATCTTTTTTTATGACAATGTGTTATTGAATGTCACAGTTGTTTTCCTTAAGTAATTTCTTCTTCCTAATAATTCTTTGGTTTGTTTTTGAGTAGATTTCTGTATGGGGTGTAAGGTGGGGGTCTTGGTTTATACTTCTGCACAAGTAGACATAATTTTGTCAGCACCATACATTAAAGGGACTATCCTTACTCTCCAGGGTTTGACTTCAGCTCATTTGTCAAAAACTACTTGAACATAGATGTGTGAGTTAGTTTTTAGGATTTCTGTCATGTTCTGTTGGTCTGCATATTTACTTTTGTGCCAATGACAGGCCGTTTCAATTATAATTTCCCTGTATTATGTCCTGAAGTTTGGTATTGTGATTCACACAACTTTAGTTTAAGATTGTTTGAACTATTTGAGATTTTTTTTGTGTGTTCTCATATGAATTTTAACACTTTTTTTTTAGAACTGAGAAGAATGTTGAGAAGTTGATTGGCATTGCATGAATCTTTAAGCAACTTTCAGTAATATGGAAATTGAGATAATATTAATTCTTCTATTCCATGAACATGAGAGTTTTCCATTTTCGTGTCTTTCTTTAATGTACTATAATTTATCTTGTAGTGATTCATCACATCCTTGTTAAATTTATTTCAAAAATATCTAAATAGTTTTATAACTGTTGTGAATGGAACTGATGCTACAAGTTCTTTCTGACATGGAACTATGCGTATACAAAATCCGTTGACTTTTGTGTGTTGAGTTTGTTTCCTACAACTTCACAAAACTCTCATCTATCCCAGTAGTCTCTCAGTGGAGTTTTTTGGTCTTATATGTGGGCCCATGTCATCCTGAAACAGTGTTTCATTTCTTTCTTTCCAGGTTGTGTCCTTCTGTTTACTAACCTAGTAGCTATTACTAGATTTCCAGAACAACAATGAATAGCAAAGTTGAAAGTGTTCATTCTTCAGCAGTTCCAGATCTTAGTGGAAATGCTTCCCAAACGCGATGTGTTTGTCCTGTACTGCACTGACTGTGTTGGAAAATGCTGCTTCTATGCTCAGGTTGCCTAAGGTTTCTGTCAGGAAATGTCATTGTATCTTATCAACTACTTTCTCTGCATCTATTGATATAGTCATAGGGTTTTTATTCTTTAGTTTTTAATGTGATGTTTCATATGAATAGTATATGTTCAATCATCCCTGCATACCAGAAATGAAGCCCATTGAGTCTGAGTGAATGATCATCTAGTAGTGTTTTTGGAATTGATTATGTAGCATTTTGTTGAGAATGTTTTTTATCTATGTTCTTCAGTGATATTGGCCTACAGTTTTCTTTCTTTATTGTATCTTTTTCTGGTTTTGGAACTACAGTGATGCCTACCTCCTGGGAGTTTGGGAGAATTTCCTGCCTTTCAGCTGTTTTAATAACTTTACAAGAATTGGAATTAGTTCTTTAAAGACTTGGTAAGATTCAGCAGTGAAGCCACAACATTGGATTTGCTTTATTGTAAGGAGCATTATTAATGATTGGTTCTTGGTGTATTTGTGTTTTCTGTGTTTCCATGATTCAGTTCTGGTGGTTTGCATGTGTCTAGAAACCCCTCCTGTTCTAAATTTTTCATTTGTTGTGTATAATGTTTTGTGGTAACTTCTAATGATTTTTTTGGTTGTTTCTCTCCTGCCAATAGTTATATCTTTTTAATTTCTGATTTATGAATTTAGGTATACTCCCTCTTAACACCCCTCTTTTCTTTTTGAAAAATGGTATGTTGGTTTTGCTTCTTTTTTTAAAAAAAAAAAGGTTTATTTTATTTTTTATTGGAAAGGCAGATATACAGAAAGGAGAGACAGAGAGGAAGATGATTCACTCCCCAGGCGTTCACAATGGATGGAGCTGAGTCAATCCGAAGCCAGGAGCCTCTTCTGGGTCTCCCACATGGGTGCAGGTTCGACTGCTTTCCCGGGCCACAGGCAGGGAGCTGGGTGGGAAGCGGGGCTGCCGGGATAGAACCGGCGCCCATATGGGATCCCGGGCGTGCAAGGCGAGGACCTTAACCACTGTGCCATCGCTCTGGGCCTGGTTTTGCTTCTTAAAAACTCTTCATATTGGTGTTTTTTCCATTTTTTAATGTAGAGAGCTCTTAAATTAGTCTGTGTCTCAGGGGATTTTTTTTTTGTACTTTTAGAATAAAGTTATTTTTGATTAAAATTATCTTTATAATTAGATTCCATCGTGTTAGAAGGTTTTATGGCAACTCTTCAGTTTTATTTTCAAAAGTATGGATTTCTCATTCGAGCTCATAATATTTGATAGAGAAAGAGTGACCCAGCTTGGGGGTTCAGTTACAAATTTGTATTCATAACAACATTTTTCTTTGAATATGTGTTTTTATTCTTTTGTGGGAGAATTCTCAAAGCCATTTGAGAATCATTGTAAAAACATACACCATCATAAAGACAACTTCTCACATTTGTATGGAAAGCCAGAAATCACATAAATAGCCAACTACAGAAGCTTTACGCATCGTTCTGATCCATCAGGGTCATCTTGACTTCGAGTTTGATGTTTATAATTTGAATGTCAACTTGATCCTCTCCTGTTTATTTTTTCCACCTTTAAAATTAATTAGTTTTTTTTAATTAAAGATTTATTTTTATTATTTTTTCATTGGAAAGGCGGATATACAGAGAGGAGAGACAGAGAGGAAGATCTCCCGTCCGATGATTCACTCCCCAAGTGAGCGCAACGGGCCGATACTATGCCGATCCGAAGCCAGGAGCCTCTTCTGGGTCTCCCACGTGGGTGCAGGGTCGCAAAGCTTTGGGCCGTACTCGACTGCCTTCCCGGGCCACGGGCAGGGAGCTGGATGGGAAGCGGGGCTGCCGGGATTAGAACCGGCGCCCATATGGGATCCCGGGCGTGCAAGGCGAGGACCTTTAACCACTTGTGCCACCACGCCGGGCCCAAAATTAATTAGTTTTGTTTTTTTTTTTAATTGTTGCTTACATTGTATTATGTAGTACAGTTTTATAGGCGCTGGGCATTCCCCCACCCCTCCCATATCCCTCCCCCCATGGTGGATTCCTCCACCTTGTTGCATAACCATAGTTCAAGTTCAGTTGAGATTCATTGCTTGCAAACACATGCCTAGCATAAAGTTCAGCGTCTTATTGTCCAGATAAGTTCAGTGGCCTCTTGGGGAGACCTTCTATGGTCTGAAGATAGGTCTAACAGAGTAAAGATCCGGTCAGTTAAAAGCCCCAACAAGGCCTCAGTATCAATATACAACATTATGGAATTAATTGACATAGTATTGGGTAAACAATATGTTAAAAATAATGCAAGTTCCATTCTTCAAAACATCTGGGTTGAGACAGTATCAATGACAGGTTCAAAAAATAACAAACAACCAAACAAAAAATTACAGGTTAAATCAAGGCAAACATGTGGTATCTAATCTTTTGGGATTCGCTCATTTCCCTTAGCATTATAGTTTCCAGTTGTGCCCATTTAGCCACAAAGAACTGCGTTTTGTTTTTTTTAATAGCTGAGTAGTATTCCATGGAGTAGATGAACCAAAGCTTTCTTATCCAATCTTCTGCTGATGGGCATTTTGGTTGCTTCCATGTTTTTGCAATTACTGATTGTGCTGCAATGAACATAGGGATGCATGTTGGTTTGTCATAAAACAGGTGTTTTGGATATATTCCTAGGAGTGCTATTGCTGGGTCATATGGTATGCAGATTTTGAGTTGTTTGAGTGTTCTCCAGACTGATTTTCATAAAGGCTGTACCACAAAATTAATTAGTTTTATGACCCAGTTCCAAAACTCTAGGATTTCCCCTCCTTTCCTCTCCCCACTGATTTCCACTCTTTTATCACCGCAATGTAGTCATTCAGAAAACAGTCCTAAGTACATCATTCTACTACTTGGATGTAATCTGACATTGTTAAGTATGGAGAATGGCAGAGTCCAGCATTCTATTGTCAAGATATATTTAACAGTTTCATTGGGAGTCTGTCTTTGATTTGGAAGTAGAGATGCATGCTGTATTGTATCTTCACACCTCTGTTATGCGGTTCCTCTAGGTGACTATGTGCATGCATGTTTACCTACTACATCTATTGATCTTATGTTTTGTATGAGGCTGCCTCATATCAGAGAGAACATATGATACTTGTCCTTTTAGGATTGGCTCATTTCACTTAGCATAATGGTCTCTACTATGGATCATTTGATTGCAAATGGTAGAACTTGAATGTTTTCAGTTACTGAGTAGTATTCCATGGAGTAGATGTTCCACAGTTTCTTTATCCACTCCTCTTTTGACAGGCATCTGGGATTTTTCCATGTCTTTGCTATTGTAGATTATGCTACTGCAAATATAGGGTTACAAATACCTTCCTCATATGCAGATTTCATTTGCTTTGGATATACTCTCAGAAGTTGGATGTTTGGGTCTTATGGCAGATCAATTTTCAGTTCTTTTTGCACTCTCCATACTGTCTACCATAGTGGCTGTACTAACTTACACTCCCACCAAAGCCAGGAGTCTGGGGCCTCTTCCTTGTCTCCCACATGAGTGCAGGGTTCTAAGGCTCAAAATCAACCTCTAGTACCCCTCCCAGGTTACAAGTAGAAGCTGGATGGGAAGTGGAGCAGCCAGAACAGAAACTCATCATAAGGGAGGTTGGTGCTTAGACGTGGAGGATTAGCAAGTTGAGCCAATGTGCTAGCCCCCCTTTATTTTTTTTTCTAATTTTAATTCTTCCAATTTATTTTGGGTTTAGTTTGTAGCTATGGGTCATTCATTTGATGCCTTTCTGATTTCTTAATTTAGGCACTAATTTCTATTAATATAGCTCTTATGACTGATTTTGTTGTTTGCCTTAACTTTTTATGTGTTGTGCTGCCATCTTGATTTGGTTTTAGAATTTTTAAATTTCTTTTTTGATTACTTCTCTACCAGTTTCTAATTCAATTGTGTATTAACCATTCTCCATGTGTTTGTGCATTATTTCAGAGTTTGTTCAGTTGTTGATTGCCATGTTCACTGAACTCTGTTCAGAAAAGATAGGTGATGTGACATCAGATTTCATTGAATTTGCAGAGACCTGCTTTATGGCCTGTTACATTGTCTATCTTTAAGTGAACTCCATGATTAAAAGAAAGTGTATAATGCAACTGTTCTGGAGATATCAATTATTCCCACTTGGTCCATAGTCTAGATGGACTGTCATATTTCTTTATTGAATTTTTGTCTAGTTGATCTGTATATTGACAAAATGAGGTATTGAAGGTTGCATTATTGTTGTATGGGTGTCTAAGTCTCCATTTAGATCCATCAATGTTTACTTTAAATGGCAAGCTACACTAGCATTAAATATACATTAGTTATGGTCACATCTTTGTGTTGAATTGATCCATTGATCCTGTAATTGCCTTCTTCATCTCTGATCAGGTTTTCTGTGTTAAGGTCCAGTTTGTCTGACTATAGGATGACTATGCAAGTTCTTTTTCTGCTTTCCATTAGCATGGAAGACCTTTTTATATCATTTTACTTTTAGACTTTCAATATCTTAATTGGTGATGTATGTTTCTTTTAGGTAACAGATAGCTTAAGTTTTTTTTTTTTTTTTTTTCTAATCACACTCCACCAGTCTGTATCGTTTATTGGACAATCTGTGGCATATGCATTCAAGGCTATTGTTGATAATTAATGACTGGGTCTCATCTTTTCCATTAATATTCCTATTGCTTGTTTTGTATTCCTTAGGCAGTTTTATTAGGAAACTTTCTGCTTTCACATTATTTCATAATGTTGATGGTCATTCTCAGTCTGGGTGTAACAGATCCCTAAGTGTAATTGTTAAGGCAAGACAAGTGGCAAAAAATTCTTTCAGTATGTCTCTTTTGGAAGGACTTTATTTGACAGTATTTTATAAGTGAGAACTTTCTAAGTTACAGATTTCGGGTTGGCAGCGTCTCCCTGTTAGAATCTGTGCTATGTCTCTCCATTCTTTTCCTGACTATAGGATTTCTAATGAGAAAGCAACTATTTTTTTTCTGGTGGGGGGGAGGAACTCTATTCCCTTTATATATATTTTGTTTTATGACACAGTTTGATAGGCTCTTGGATTCTCCCAACCCCTCCATAAACCCTCCCCCTCATGTTGGGAAACAACTATTATTCCAATTACAAATCTGCTGAAAGTATGTTGGCATTTTTCTCATGCGCATTTTAGATTTTATTTTCTTTCCCTTTTTTTTTTTTTTACTGTTGTTAAGTCTGATTATGTGTCATGGTGAAGATCTTTGATTATGTCTATTGAGTTCTATGTACTTCATATAATTGAATGCCCCTGTCTTTCTCCAAATTAGGTGATTTTTAGTATATAAATTCACTTGATAGATCTTGTAATCCATTCTCTCTTCCACATGACCAAGAACTCCTTCGATTCATGTTTGGTTACTTGAAAAATTCCTAAATCTCTAACAGTGATTTTAGCTTTTTCCTTTCCCTTCCTTCCCTCCATTCTTTACTTCCTTTCTCTCTCATCAAAATGGAACATTTCCAAAAATTTTCTTCTAACTAGGATTTTCTTTCTTCTGTCTTGTTAAATTTGCTTAGGTTTATTATTATATTTGCTGTATTAGATACTGACTTCTTCATTTCTAATAGTTTTTATTTGATTTCTCACCAAATCTTAATCATTAAGCAATATCGTCTGTTCATATTGTGTTTGGATTTCTATATGTCATTAATTTGTTTCAGTGTGTTTTTGAGTAAAGGCCATTTGAATTCATTTTCTGGCATTTGCCACTTTATTCTTCACATGTTAATATTCAAGTATTGATGTCCTCCCTTTGAAGAATGCTGTTGTCTTTTTTTGTTGTTGTTCTTGTTTGTTGCATTTCTGCATTTATTTTTAGGCATTTGAGGAAATACTGCTTGTTTTTCTCCTTTGATGGATTTTATCACTAGGTTTAGTATAGTGACTGCTCCTTTAGTGGTTATCCAGAGATGTGTGCTGTGAGGGGCCAGGGAGCTCTGGTCAGAACTCAGAATGAAGTTAAATTATAGGCTGACACCCAAGTTGGACATAGGAGAACTCTTTGTCAGCAAGGAAGTGGGATATTGTCACTTCTACTAGATTACCAGAGTAATCCCAGCCTTGTCAGCTGTCTTCCAAAGTGATCAGTGCCTAGGGTAAGCCCACGCTGGCTACAGATCCCAACCACACTGGCACATGAGTCAAGAGCAGCTCGCGGAATCTTGAAATGATCTACTCTGGGTGATCAGGGGTCTTGGAGCTTATGATGTCAGACATGCTACTAGGTCAGAATTCTAGCTGCACTCCACACTGCATCATGCAATTACAGAATTCCCTTGTTTATTCCACACAATGCTCCCACAGTGACAAGGTACAGGGTATCCACTCCATCTCATCAGCCAGTTGTATGTGTGAAGAGAACAGTAGCCTTCCTTGCACCAGCTGCCTATGGGTGCTCTACCATGGCAGTCTGTGTCTCAAGCCCATTATACAATGGGGGATTGTGCATTTCATAGTCCTAATCTGAGGATGCTTCCTAGCCTTAATGCATGACTCAAAGTCAGTGGAAAATGCAGATTTACTCCTCTGATAAAATTCCCTAGTTATATATTCATGCATACATGTGCTAAAGCTACAACAGTTTTTTTGGTATTAAACTGACACCATCTCCCCCCTAGCCATCTATGCCATTGGACAGAAAAGTGAAGGAAAAATATACTTTTCCCCCTTGGGGATATGTGAACACCCTGCCTCTCTCACTTTGTTCCAGTCCAACAGGAAGTCTTTGGTCAGCAGGGCTCTACCTCAGGCAGTATAACTAGTGATACTGGCTACTGCACTCTGCTCGCACCTCGTTCCTGGAGGCCTGGGTCTACTCCAGACCACAGCTGTGAGGGTTGCCTAAGGTATCAGCTCCTCACAGCCGAGTTTCACTGTCCATTGCTACTCCAGAATGTCTCTGTGTCTCTTGTAGGGTTTCTTCTGCAAACTTATCTCCAAAGCTCCACTTGGAATGTACTTCCCCCACGTTGCTCCCACTAACTACTCCTGGTCAAAAATCAGCACATCTTTTTCCTGTTAATACAGCTATCTTGGAACCTTGATTCCCCATTGGTGTATGAGCTTTTGTATGTGTTTGTGTTTGTATGCTTTTCTAGGAATAGAGAAATATAAGTGCAGTGATCGCTATATATCAGTATATATCAGGGATTTGTTGTAAACTCTTTGAAGGTGTCAGAATATGCTTGAATAAGAATATTTGGATGTTAATTTCAAGTCAATCAGTGCTCCTTATATATGCTAATTGGAAAAGGTACCAGAGAGACTAAAGTATGTTTGGTTTTGTTACCTAATTTTTGTTGCTAATTTTCTACTTTTTAAAAATGTCATGCATTTCATCTAAAAAATGTTTTCTTCCCCCTCTGATGTTTACTTTTGTTCACAATGAATTGGTGCTTCAACAGGCCCTTGCCTTACTACAAACTAAGTGGTGGTGTTTTTTTCTTGCTCAGATATAGAACAATCCTTTGCACTTATCTAGACGCACAAAGCAGAAATTCAATCTACAGTGTTTTTACAGCACTGTCATAACAAATTTCTCACTCCAAAAAATCTCGAACAGATACAGCTGCCAGCTGTCACTCGGGATACTCTGCGTACTTGACGCACATCCTTCAGAGAGTTATCAGATGTAAATATTAAATGGACAGAATTGGACACATTTTCTCAGTCCACAAAATGTCTTGTTATGTTGACTTCATTTCTTGGTTTTAGTTAATAGTACTCTAGGAATGTAGGAGTGTGGTTATCTCCTTCATATGCTGATTGCGTCCCCTTCCGACGTACACTCATAAATGAGGAATTCTGTTACATGTCACATTCATTTTGAGGAGCCTCCATCCTGCTTTTCCTCAGTGGCTGTGCTTATTTTCATCATCACCAATTTTTTTTTTCAGATGTTCCTTTTCTCATATACTCACTGGAATTATTACTATTATTATTTCTTGTAATAGTCAAAATAGCTCAAGTGTGATGGTGCCTGTCTGATATACATTGATGGCTGAGTCAATGGAGAAAATATGTCAATGAAATATCTTTTATTGATAAAAGTGAATGAAACCCTGTTGTTTGCTGCACAGTGCACAGGATTTGTTGCCACGGACAGGATTCAAAACCTTTATGTTACGTGAAATAAATCAGATATACAAATACAAATACCACACATGCATTCTCTCTTGCCTGTGGGAGTTTATTAAAACAGCTGATCTGAGTTTATGGTGTTGATAACTGGAACCTGGGAAGGGTGGAGTGGAGGAGCAGCAGGACCTCAAATACTAGGTGTGGAAGTACGCTGCATCACAGTGAGCTTTAGTGACTCACAGTAAAGAGTTTGATTAGAGCTCAAAATTCCATAGAGGATGTATGGAGCACTGAGAGGCAGGAGCTAGCTGGTAGACTCCGATGACTCACAGAGAACACTTTATTCTGTTCTGCTGTATATGTGTGTTGAACTATCACACTGTACCCCATAAAAAGATATACAGATTAGACTTTACTAACAAAATATAAAATAAAATAGTATAAGACTGACCAGATATTTTAATATCATTTTCCATCATTCACACCTATTTGATTTAAAGTTACATAGCCTAAAAGGAGATTTTAATATTCCTCGGAGAGTAAAGAATTTCTCTGTTTTCTGTGTCTGTGGAGACCATGGTTTTCAAGTTGGTCTTTGGTGAACTAAGCTGTATTCCACCTTACCAGGTGCATATACCTACAGCATAAATATAACTGTAATGCGAAGTTAAAATTCATGTTATAATAAACTGTGAATGATGTTTTTATATTGCAAAAGAGATAGGATTGTTTGGGAGAGATAATGGTTAAGAATTTCGAAGTATTGGTTTTTGCAGTAGTTTACTTTTTTATTTTTTAGAAAGATTTATTTATTTTGTTGAAAAATCAGATTTACAGAGAGAAGGAGAGTCAGGCAAAGATCTTTGGTCCACTGTTTCACTTCCCAAGTAGCCACAAGAACTGGAGCTGAGTCTATCTCAAACCAGGAGACTAGAGCCAGGACCCAGGAGCTTC